TTAATTGACCCCAATCATGATATCAAAATCAAATTCCATAATTTTCACCCCCCGAGCCCCCATTTTGGCCGCCATCGCAAAATTGAACTTGACAACATCGAAATTCTTTTTTTACGCATCAAAATGAAGAGATTAAGATATTTTCCACACTTGCTTTACTTACCGTTCCACGGGAGTACATAAGAACCCGGACTAACCCCCGAATACCAAGTTTCATGCAAATCCAACGATAAGCAGCCTAAATATCCACTGACCGCGCTAGGCCGCCATTTTGAAAAGGACCGACTTTTCTGGAAAACCAATGCCAGAATCGTTTTTCTCGTCTCGAAAAACCCAAGGATATCGAGTTTAACGCCAATCTGTCAATAAACAACGGAGATGTCAGATTTCCGCCATTTTGAATTTTGACCTGCCGCCATTTTGTCAAAAATTAACATTTTTGCTTGCGGTTTGCACCAAAACTGTTTTTATTTAATTATCTTTCGAATGAGGTATCACAACGGGAGGGGGGGTTGCCAGTTGAAAAAAAAAGTTAGTCCCCGCCCCCCTCAGGGGGGCCGCCCCCCAAAATTTTGGGGGGACCAAAAAGTTGCTACTTTAGACTGAGGAACATTGCCAAAGTTTCAAACTTCTATCTCAATTTGGAAAAAAGTTACAGGGGTGGTCAGTGACTTTCGGATAACCCTGTATACGTACCCTGTCGCGTCAACTTTGAAAAAGCATAACTCTGAAACTAATCATTTCTCCAACATGTTCTTTTGCTAATTTTAAAGAGGAAAACTAGGGCTATTTTTTGCACACATATTCATAACATTTTGTGCGACCCCTCCCGTCGAAAAATGGAGAAATCCAAAATTAAAATTTTTAAAAAAATTTGATGAGTCCTAACTTGGTCAAAAATTAACCGATTTTCAATTTCTTATACCTAATAGGAAGATCTTTTTATGTTCTTTCATTTTAAAAAAAAAGTTCAGTTCGATAACTGCAACCATTCAAAAGTTATGGCTAAAAGTTGATTTTTCTTTGACCCCCCCTCCCCCTCCCCACGGGGGCATGGATCAAAAAGTCCGCTATTATTGAACTTCTCTAAGGTTGCGTTCCAGAATTCATCGCGATGTAAATCGATTGAATCGGTTGTGCATCAAAGTGTTTCCGGGACCGGTGAATAATAGACGATTCATCGATGCAGATCCATCAAAGCGTTTTTGGAATTCTGGTTGATTCCATCGCTATGACGTAGAGTAGATCAACCAGATCAATCGTACTCCGGAGTTCGATGAAGCCGATGCACGCCGATGTAGATGACGTAGCGTGACGTAATTAACCTCCAAATATAAACTAAATAAGTAAATAATATGTCCTGGCAATAGACAATTTCTCCATTATTCAGTATTTTCCTTTTCTATGAGATGTATTAAGTTTTTTTTAGTTTATTTCGAATGGGAATAATTTTGGGAGCCTGTGAGATCGAAGGTCATTTCATTTTAATTTTATGTTCTGCTGCAACTAGGCTCCAAGTTGATTGGCTGTAACATTGTGTGAGTGCAATATTTGAATACCTTTGTCCTTTGACAAAGGCAAAGTGCGCTGGTGGTTTTTAATCGGCACTATGAGCTATCAATTTGATACATTTTCACCTACCTTTCCGTGCCATTGCCTATCGCTTTCAGCATTGATTCAATGTTATTTTTCGATGTTAACATGGAAGTTTCATCTCTAATTATTTGTATGAAGAGCTGAATTTATCTCCTGCTATAGCAATGTTCTATAATGGTTTGCAACGCCATCAATGCCAACTGGACACATTCTGCCTTCAACCCCAGATGAGTAGGGCCTACCCTCAGTATAAGTAAGTAAAAATTGAAGTTGCTTTTTCTTCATCTTAGAGGCAGTTCTTAAAATATTAGACATGCATTCATATGGGTGTTAGGGTTAGCGTCACACCGTTATGTCTTGACGTACGTTGGGCCCGTAGGTCGCAAAAGCATTATCAGAGGGAAAGGAGAGGGATCAATCCAAAATTGAGCGCCATGTATTTAATGAACAGCCTCCTATCTGAATATACTTATTCATAATTAATTTTCACTAGGAGAAGTTTCGTGGGTCTAAGTACTTCGAAGAGTATACAAAATATGAGATTTTCATCCAAAATTTCTGTAGAATAGGACTTAACTTCTTTGGACAAAGTGTCAAAGATTGAACACAGTCTGCGGAAGTCTCAGTACTGAGCTCTGAAGCAGGGCACGATTGAATCTCCTGAGATGCTATCTAACTCATTGAATAATATTGATAGTTACCAAGGTTTTGCTGCGATTGCTTCCACTGAAAGCCTTGTTACAAAGCCTGCTAATAAAATTTCCTGAAACCAGGCAAACTTGCAGGTCCATCTGCACAACCTTAATTCTCAAGAAATAATCAGTGGCTCAGCTTCCTTGTTGAGGACTTTAATGCTCTCCTCAATGGTTGATTTCTCGCCTGAAGTTGTTGGGGTATTCAACAACATGTGCGAACAAAGTAGCTACAAGCCACTGAGAAAGCGATCAGGACTACTTACGTATTGAGAGAAATGCTTACTAACACTTAAACAGACAGATGATTCCTGCAGGATCATCTGTTTTGACTGCCTTTAATCAGCTGGTGAGATCAAACATCAGATCTCTAGCATGTAAGCAGAAAGATATCATGTAAAGATAAGTGTAAGGTGTCCAAATGACATGGAAAGAGCAGTTACAAATAACTTCAAGAAAGCAAAACACTCTATGATAGCAACTTCACATGGGTAAACTTTAACAGATGGCAGGACAAGATTCCAAACAAATCCTGCAGAATAATCGAAAAACTCAAATGACTGAATTGTCAGCAATTTCGCTACTAACATGAAGCCCCAAACACTTAAAATTGAAGAAAACGAAAACAGATTGCTTCGCTGATAAGTGATAATAGTAAACAAAACAAACCCGTTCATCGAAAATTCCATCAAAGCGTTTTTGGGATCAATCGAGGATACGTCATCTGACTTTCCATCAGACTCCATGGGTTACGTCAGCATGACGCCATGTTCTACTATACTTCTGATTGACAATCCATCAAAAAGATGAATTCTGGAACGTAACCTAACCTTCCTTTACAAAAGGTGAAGGTGTGACAAGATTCCGTTCCGGGCCCAATTATTATGGGGGATGCATATACCTCTTCAAAGACTGGTGTGATGAAGTTAAGTTCAGCAATTCAGCGAAGAGAACACATTTCATAAGGAATCATTGCACCTTGCGTACGCGGCTGAGGCAACTAAAGTATTGTGTTGGAGTTCACTGCTTGTTTTAGAATAAGATTAGAAATGAAGATAAGGAACCTCATATTTTGGAATAAAACATATAGATTCAGGAGCCATTGCAAGTAGATCAGTGAAATGTCACAATAGTCGCAAATCTATTTGTTGAACACCATAAGAATGATGTAGCTACTAAATCAGTCTATTGTTGATCCTAGTTTTAATTGATTTACAGAATTTTAAACCACTGCTGACAATGAATGCACCAAATTTGAGAAAAAAGAAAATCTTGATAAAAGGTAACAACATGAATTTGAACGCTGCCATGAACGTACTTCATTACATAAAAAGTTATCAGTTTCATTGGAACGTTCTTACCATACGATGAAATATGGAAAATTTTTCAGTAGGTAATTAAAAGGAGGAAATTAATATTGTTGAAGGAAAAAAATTAATATTCTCATAATAATTATTTTGAATCATATAATTTAATCAATTTTGATATCTTCTGTTGTTGAAAGACAAAAATGCTAAGAAACACGGCGAACGAAGGTACCCACTGTGGGAGAAAAAACATTCGAAATCAATCATCACAAAGATTTCCCCCATTGACACACTGGCAGTTGCAAAGTAAAGCCAAGTGAGTAAAACCGTGATCAATTTTTTAAGTTAAAAGTACTTATAGGTTCTTCTTATTAAAGAAGAAAATAGGTATTTTCTCCTGTATTTTAAGAAAGCAAAAAGTAGGTTAACTTTCCCAGTACCATTTCTCAGCGGAAAAATCTGGATATATTGCAATTTTATCGGCGATGAAATCGCTAGGATCATCAATATCAAAGCAATTATCCTCTATCTTTTCGCAGTAAAATCGCGCTTTTATCGCCTGACAACTTATCGCAATATCTTCGGAATAATAATCGCGATAAATGGCGATTTAAGCTCGATTTTATCGACGAAAATTGATCACGATTTCATCGACCCAAAAATTGCGATGTCTAGCGATTTATTCGCCATATATCGCAATTTTTAATGCGATAATATCTAGATTTATTGCCACCATTACAATCGCGATAACAAACCGATGTAATTGCTATTATTCGCGATCACTGCTACTTGGGTTTCACCCTGCTTAACTTAACAACTTCGCCCAAAGTATCATAAGTCCTAAAATAAATTACCTATTTAATACAAACAGAGTTGCGAAGTAAAATTTCACCAGAAAGTTTCACATGAAATTTCATTTTGGCTCAACTGTTTCACAATTAGCAAAATATTCCTATTTTAATAGAAAAAATGTATTTAAACCTTTAGAATCACCGTCAGAGCTATTCTGAGTCATATTTACCTTAAATGTACTCATTCAGAGGATTTCACTCATTTTCACAGTTTCCGCCCAGGCATGACTGTCGGGAGTGCCTAATCTAAAAATTTGTTGTGACGATTGAAGTGGTGTTCAATTGTTTACAATCGTCATAAAGCGAGAGGTGTTAAAAATTACCCTAATCTAGGGGGTAATTTTGAACACCTCTCATTTTTTTAAAGTTAGGGTGTGGCAAGAGACCCCTAAATTTTTGACATAAGGAGGTTATTTGTTTAAAAAAAAAGAAGAAACAAGTTCCTGTATTGTTTGTCAACTATTTTTTCTATAATCCCTCATAAAACCACAACCGACCCATACAAATATGTAGTAAGTTAGTTATTTTGATTAATGACGATCAGCAATATATATATTTAAGTGAATTTCATGAGTTGTATAACCGTTCGAATTACTTTTTATTTATTTTAAAATTTACATTGCAACGTTTCGGTGGCTTATTTCCACCATCATCAGGCACAGACAGAAATAAGCCACCGAAACGTTGCAATGAAAATTTTAAAATAAATAAAAAGTAATTCGAACGGTTATACAACTCATGAAATTCACTTAATCATACATATAATGAACATGAAATTAGACACACATATATATAAAATTTGTAGCCCAACATGATACAAAAGATGACACAAGAAAATTGGGATGAAAGCTGTAAACACATATAAAAGATTCCGTACGTTTCGGTGCGAAACAACCAACCCCTTCCTCAGCGGCTAAAAACAAAAATATTGAGCTAAAAATCTAAAAAACTACCTCCTCCTCATCTCGCCAATCCTATAAATCACAATCAAAACAATAGCTATGTTTATGCGAGCCTCTAAACCTAACTTCAGTCGAAACCTGAGTTTGAAACCAAGGTTCAAATCACGGCATAAACGATCCGGAACTAACGAAAAGTAGGTTTCCGAAATTTGTGTTTGAAACCTTATTTTACACGAAAGACTAGGTTTCCACATTCCGCATAAACGAACCGGAGGCTGAAATTCGACTTCAAATGCGATTTCCAGGTGGGCGATCGGCAATATGGCGGATTTGTTATCATAACGTTCGTAAACAGCTGGTGCTTTTCCCACAATTTTGCTGTAATTTTGCCATTATTCAATATTTTTTAAAGTCACAATTTTACTAATTGTTGCTTAAGCACTTTCACGTAATCCCTTAAGTCATATGTGACTTGTTTATCTTTATTTTACTAAATGTAGGACGTTATTTTCTAGTGAAGGTGTTCAGTGTCAGATCGAATCCTGGCTCACCACTGCGCTCAGATTATTTTTGCGACTCTCATTATTACATTGTTTAAAATGGCGGCTAATAGATGTTCAACATGACCGAAAATGGCATCTAGGTTATTTGCCTATGGATTTGCCCGAAACTTGGAGCCTGCAGGTATTTTGGCATAGGATTAATACGTTTGAAATTATATTTCTTAAAAAAAAAAAAAAAAAAAAAAAAAAAAAACACAATATTCGGCCGTTTTGAACGTTTTTCAACCGCCATTTTGACAATTTTGGTTTTCTTGAAAATCTAACGTCAAATTCGTTTTTCTCGTGTTGAAATTCCCCATAGAACTGAGTTTCAGGCAAATCCATCGACAAAAAACCGAGGTGTCAATTTTCGGCCATCCTGAACTTTAACCAGCCGCCATTTCGAAACAGTTTGAAATATTGACTTCGAGTTTTCGCGAAAAGTTTTCTTTTAATATGCTCTCGAATGAGGTATCACAAGGGGGGTCTTCCCATTTGAAAATAAAAAGTTGGGGTCCTTTACTCCCCCTCCCCCCCAGGGGGCCTCTGACAATTTTAGGGGGGTCAAAAAGTAGCTCCCTTTGATCTAGAAGCGTCCTCCAATTTTCACATCTCTACCTCAATTAGGTCAAAAGTTAGATGGGGAGGGAGGGAACTTTTCTAATACCCTGTATATTATTGACTTTTTTTCTTTTTTTTAAATCTCCGTTTATAGTTTGGAAAATTCTTTTGACCATCGAGAAGATAAAGTACCTGCCTAGATGAGCCCTCTCTTTTTAAAGCTACGAGAGGAGGAGTCTGCGAAGCAAACATTAGAGGGCCAAAGTGGCCTCGAGGAGTTGGGTTGGGTGGAGGTTAGGGGGTATGCCTCCAAGTAATAATATAAAATCATAAGCGGTTTGTGTAACGCCTAATGCTGGGCATTGCATCCCCCCTCTCTGGGTATTCTGCACCTACTCAGTCCACTACCCCTTCTTATACAGAGCCCTTACTTCACCCCCACCCCCCATTTGCCTTTGCGCCTTTTTATAATGATAGCATCATAAGCTTATCATTGTGTAATAGCTTATACAGGTAATTATCGCAACATACTACTCTTCAATATTTTGCACTGATACACTATTCGTTTTTGAAAATTACAGAAAAGGAGAGTGGTCATCTGATAGAGGAATTCCCATTCGCAGCTGTTTAGGCAATTCAGAAAGTCTCGACCATCTCAGCTGTCAGATGGCTGTTTCTCTCCCTAACATCCAAAATTACGTTGGACGGAATTACTACCCGAATGACAACCATCACTCTCACAACCAAAATAGAAAAAGGAACCAAAGAGATGAACAAAACCAAAACCTAAACACACAAGGGTTTCGAAAGCATTTGACAGGAACAAGAGGAATGTCTCAGGAATCAAACTGATGCCACCCAGAAACTAATTTATGTAACCTCAGTAATCAGTATATATTAAGTTTCTATCATAAATTTAGTGTTTATTTTTATGGGGAGTATAAAGTTTATTAATATATTTTTTTATGAATGACTAATCTTTAAAGTGGGGAGTACAAAGGCAATGAGAAAAATTCTGCAATCTTTTTTTTTTTTTTTTTTTTTTTTTTTTTTTTTTTTTATGTATGTAATACAGAGGTACATTAATTTCAACAGATAAATTTACTTGGACGTATTTCTATCAAACGAAACTATGCGCCCTCAGTACCTGCCCTTGTAATTTAAGAGGAATAATTATCCTTGTTGCAAATAAAAGACACCTATCTACTATTGTAATGGCATCTCTGACGTTGAAATATTTCTAAATGAAAGGATTATTTCAAAAAGTGTCTTTTACTGGCCAGCCAACATGAGTAAAATGAAACACTTTAGATAATACAGCATCATTTTGCGTTTCCAACGCAATAATTGTTGAATCAATAGGTAAATTAGGAGAAAATTCTACATGAAATTCTTCTTCAATTTGGTTTGGTGCTGAAAGTCAAGAAAGGGCATCAGCCATTGCCACAAATTCGCTTTTTCGGTGAACGATTTCAAAATTGTACGTCTGAAGTAGTACAGCCTAATGCTGCATCCTTTGTCCTGTACGTGTAGGTAGTCCTTTACGTGGGTTGAAGATGTGTTATATAGCTGAATTATCAGTGAAGAGTTTAAAAGGACGTCCCCAGACAAACCGTTAAAACTTGGTGACCGCGTATACCACTGAAAGATCTTCTCAATCTCGCTGAGCGTAATTTCGGTGTACTTGAGTTAGCGTAAGCCACTGGCCGATCAATTGGCCTACCGTTTTTCATTAATCTTCAGTGTGTGGCTCAACGTTGCGCCCACAATGACCGGACTTTCATCAGAATATACCACTAACAGTAAAGTTGGATCGTAATTAATTAAGAGAGAATTCGAAACTAGCAGTTTTTTGCATTTCTAAGTCGCCGCTTCACATTCCGGTGACCACTTGAGAATCATATTTTTACAGTATAGATCTCTTAACGGACGCGCCACTGTGCTGAATTGTGGTAAGAAGTCTGAATAGAACCCTATCATTCCGAGAAAGGATCGCACTTCCTTACTATCTGCCGGGACTTTGCAGTGAACGACTGCTGAAGTTAGGGACGGAGCAGGGGATCGCCCTTCTTTAGAAACTATGAAACCGAGATGTTTGATTTGAGTGACGAACCAATGACATTTTGGCAAACTTAGTCGCACGTTATGTTTATCTAAACGTCCAAAAACTAAAAGGGTATGGTGCACATATTCAGCTAAGCTTTTCCCTTGACTTAAGATATTATCGAGAAAACACTGCGTGCCTGGAATGCCGAATAAAATTTGGTCCATAATGCACTGGAATATTGGAGCGCCGCTGGCTACTCCATACATGAGCCTAGTTGGCTTGTATAACCACGGTCGGTATTTAACACGCACATATCTTGAGAGTCCGGATGCAATTTCAACTGCGTATAAGCATCTTTTAAATCGAGACTTGTGAATACAACTTCTCCAGCCAAGTTAGCAAATAAATCATCGGGGCGCGGTAAAGGATATTGATCGACTTGTACCTGAGGATTTAGAGTCCTCTTCAAATCGGTACAGACTCGCACACTGCCGCTGTCTCTCTTTTCGACTGCCACTACCGGAGAAGCCCATTCTGCTTGTCGAATTCGTACTACTTTACCAGATTTGTCCCATTCATTGAGTACCGTATTTACTGGCTCGATTAAACCGATCGGTAATGTAAGCCTTATGGTAAACCGGAACCGCATTATCTTTTAGAACTAGCATGGCTGAATGGCCTTCAATAACCGTATCCGCACTAGTATTGAATGTCCAAGGAAATCAGGATTTCAGTTCGTCAACGGATAGAGGTTTCACTTCATGAACGTTAGCTACAATCTCTGGCGCAATAAACATTGTGGAATGAAACGCTTTTCTCCAATTCAGAAAAATTGAAAATCCAACCACAAACGACCCATGAGTGGAATTGCTTTTTAATCACTTGCATAAACAACTAAAGGTAAGTTGAAATTGTTACCTGAAGATTCGACCAACATATTAGCTTGGCCTTCCACCATTACCGTGCCGGTGATTAATGATATCACTGTTGAGGAGGGAGTTAACACTATACATTCGCGAAAAATTTGCGGAAAATTGAACTGTGCACAGAGTTAAGAAATTTCGTGAAAGATTATAAAAAGAAATTTCATGAGGAAATTTTAAGAAACACACAGAATTCAAGATTAAACCCTAGAAACTTATGAATCTCCTTAAGTCTCTCTATACACACGTGGTAAACTGTGAAAGGGAACTTTAGAAATGTCCAGAAAGTTGAGTAAAACAGCCAAAACATAATTTTAATTTTTTTTCTCAAATTTCGGTTCAACACACAGTCGTACTGGTTGAACACCAAAATAAATTTTACGGATAAAGTAAAACGTTAGCTTTCATACTTGGAACAAAACAAATTTCTTGACTATAAAGAATTCTAGTACCCCCTAATAGTTTATCCTTCTTTCGTGGTACAAAAGGGAGGGAGGGATCTTAAACTATCCTTGAAACACTTTAAATGATTTTTCAGGAATTAACAGTTTACTTCGCTAACGTATTTCTTTTTTTAAATAGGAAATATTTGATACATAAGTAGAGTACCTGTATTGTTGAACTTTGAAGTGCTAGATTTTGAGATCAGTAAGTAGGTAGGTATTTTGCTTTTTCTTGAATCTGAGAGAAAATGTTTGACATTTTGTCGGTCGAAAGAAATTTCATGAGGAAAAAAGAAACTTCATGAAATTTCTTGTGAAATTTCACGAAATTTCATTCGATGAAATTTCTTTTAGCAACTCTGACCGTGCATAATACTTGCTCCAGAACCTGAATCTATTTCCATTTCGATTAGAACTTTATTAATCAACACTTTCATTGTGAGATGTTCCGAACTAATATTAGAAGAATGAACAACAAGAGACTTTGAATTAACCTCTGATCTTGCCGAGATCATATGCACTTTTGAATTGTAGGAGTTACTCCTTACATGAGAATCGAACGAACAGAGACTAGATCCCACGCAATTTTCGGAATAAACACTCTCGTGAATGAATTTGACTGGAACGTACAAGAGTTCATCCACTTAATCATCCACCCTTTTGTTGAAACATGCTTGATGGGCGTTAGTCCATTTGGACGGAGTTAAACAGAAAGGAACCAAGCCACATCGGGATCGAACCGAGAAAAAGAGGTTTAAAGTTTAGCTCCTGCATTAGACTCAATGTAAAAGATAAACTTTAAGTTCAATTTCTGCAAAATTTGCTCCAACAAAAACTTTGAATTTTTGGCGATAGAGAGTAGAGCAGTGGTTGAGTTTATAACCACTCATAACTCAATTTTTTCCATAATGTGGGTTGGTTCCTTTCTGCTTAACTCAGTCCATTTATGGTTGTCATTGATTGGGAGAATTTTTCTTAGATTGTTGCCGACGAGACGCTTCCTTGCAAACAGACTTGATGTGACCTTTAATGCCACATTTGTCACACGTGTAATGGAGATGTTGCATGTGTAAGGGATTTGCGATTTGATAATTGATTCGTATGTAAAAGTTCGCGAGAAACACGATGCTGCCACTGGTTTTCTCTGAAATCATCACCCAAGCTCACAAAAAGCTCTCAAGATAAGGCCAAAATGGAGGGGATATCCCTTTCTATGCTGAGAGTCCACCTCTACATCAAGACCAACTATCCATGCAAAGATAGGGAGTAAATACATTAGCAGGGTTGCCGTGTTCTCAGTTTTAAAGTCCCCAAATAAAGTGGCAGCCCTGTCAATGTATTTGCTCCCTATCTTTGCATGGAGAGTTTGTCTTGTAGAGGTGGACTCTCAGGATAGCGTGGGATAGGATATCCCCTCCATTTTGGCCTCAAGTTGAGAGCTTTTTTTGAGCTCGGGAGTTAATTTCAGAGAAAACCAGTGGCACCATCGTGTTTCTCGCGAACTTTTATACATATAGGAATCAACAGTCAAATCGCAAATTCCTCACACATGCAACATCTCCATTGATAGCAGGACAAGTGTTGACGTTATGTGGTTTCCCACACCGATGACACGCACCATACAGTCTAGTAGAGTTATTGGACGATGATGTGTAAGTGGTTGCTTTATGTTGACCATCAGGAACGTTTGACTGCTGTTGAGTGGAATTGTTGGAACACGACTGATGCGAATACTTCTTGTTATCATTGCTCGTAAAGGGGTAAATACACGATCAGCCTGAGCTTAAGTCTGGCGTCCGTATGATGAGTTTGTTGCTTGGTGAACGTCAGGATCTAGCGGGCCGCCAAATCCTGACCCGCAACCATCGGTCCGAATTTCCGACATCCCGAATTAAAGGTGCCATTATTTATATTTTCCTTCGACCACCTGTCTCGTGTGGTCCATGTGGTTTCGTGAGCAGTGATCCGATATCCAGGAATTTATCCTTGATTTTCCGGAATTTCTAGGGATCTAGGGTTTTTTTTTGATGAGCTAATAGTACGCAAAAACGATTTTTTAACCTCAATTTTAGCTTCGACTAAGGAGAATATTTTTTTATTTATATTTTGTGGGCCTTATTGGCAACACTATTCTCCCCGTAAGTAAGCCGGAACTTGAAACGATTCTGTCACTCGATATACTTGACATTCAACAGTAAAAAAACAGTAATAAAAACTCAACATATATTCTTTAATTTTATTGTTTTGTATTAGCAATGCTCGGTGCTTTCTGATAAGAGCGGCAAAAACCAGCGAACAACAAAACCAGTAGAAGTTAGGTTAGAACTGGATCAGAATGGCGTAAGCAGTGTTGTTCAATGGCACGTAGTAATAACAAAACTTACATGTTCTCATTACTTTTTATTGTATGTTTGACAACATTGAGCAGATATCTGCACTGAACGTGTATCGGCTCGTAAGTTGTCTTCAGTCTTCTCGTCTCAACGGTTAAGGCACCAATCATCGAACTGACGCCAGACTTATGCTCAGGCTGATCGTGTATTCAGGCCTATCCAGTGAATGCTAGAATCGCTCGTAGCCACAGCTTAGGC